TTTTTTTTTTTTTTTTTTTTTTGAGTTGAGGTCTCACTCTGTAGTGCAGTCTAAAGTGCAGTGGCATGCTCACGGTCACTGCAGCCTTGACCTGCTGGGCTCAGGCAATCCTTCTGCCTTAGTCTTCCAAGTAGCTGGAACTACAGGCATGCACCATCACGCCTGGCTAATTTTTTGATTTTATTGTAGAGATGAGGTCTTGCCAAGTTGCCCAGGCTGGTCTCGAACTCATGATGGACTCAGACAGTCCTCTCACCTTGGCCTCCCAAAGTGCTGAAATTACAGGTGTGAGCCACCGCACAGGGCCAGCCAATGTTTCTTAAGGAAAGTTGTGTGCAATAGGCAGTATTTTAAAATCTGGAATCTTAGCCGGGCTTGGTGGCTCAACCTGTAATCCCACGCCTTGGGAGGCTGAGGTGAGTGAATTGCCTGAGCCTACGGGTTCGAGACCTGCCTGGGCAACTTGGTGAGACCTCATATCTACAATAAATCAAAACATCAGCCGGGTGTGGTAGCGCATGCCTGTAATTCTAGCTACTCGGAAGGCTTTGGCAGAAGGATCACCGGAGCCCAGCAGGTCGAGGCTGTGGTGGCTGGGAGCGGCCACTGCACTCCAGTCTGGGTAACAGAGTGAGACTCCAACTCAAAATAAAATAAAATAAAATCTAGAATCTTAACATTTTCCTGAGAGCACCTCTTGTTTTGAGTGCAACATTGTTATTGGGAACTCATGTGAACATATTTGCATACTGAGTCACTTCCACTATTATCTCCCACACAGTGAAATAACCTTTGAACTGTGAAAGAAGCTAAGATGGAAAGAAAGGGCCAATTCTTGTGCATGAGAAGATGGTCAGAAGATATTTTAGGAAAGAAAAGATACTGATATTTTTGCTTTGAGTTAGTTTTTGGTAACTGAAATACAATTTCAAGCCTTGTTTTATTTACCTCTATAGGCTGGACATCATCATTGCCTATCCATTAATTTCTTGTATTTGTCAGAATCTATGTCGTTCAGATATAAAAACTCTACACATTATTCAGTTGACTCGAGGCTGATGCATGAATGTCAGTAAGTAACATATATGGGCCCACTGGATGGTGTTCCCTTCAGGAGTATGACTTTATTCTTTGTGGAAATACATAGTGATATATTTCTTACTGTTGGTCCCTTGACATTTTAATTATAACTTAAACATATTCCAATGGCAGTATTATCTAAAACAGTATTCCAAGGCCTCAAGTCTTTGCCTATCCTAGTTTTATGTAGTTTGCTTGCACTTATTAGGAACTCATCACCATATCATTCAGTCGTAATTTGCTGTGCCCATGCCTCATCCTGGTTTCTTTTTGATCCATTCTCCCACACCTTTCCCCATCATGAATTAGCTCTGTGAGGACACAAGGACTGAAAGCACATTGAAGGCAGAGAACTTTGCATATTGCTATATATCAAAAACCTAGACTGGTGTGTGGCCTGCAATAGGAGCTCAGCTGATGCTCATTCAAGGAAATTGTGTAAAAGTATGAAGGAAATGTTATTTTAAATGATTGCAGAGGTTTTGGTTCTGTTTAAGAGACAGGTTTTCCTGTTTTCATTTTCCTTCTCTAATCTCTGTTCCCTCTCACTTCATAATCCTATGTGTCATTCTTGAAGGTTGTTAGCCAGTACTTAAGGTAGACAGAAACTGTTTTTCTCCTGGGAATTTTCCAATGTTGGATGATGTTACATATCTTCTGATTGTCTTTTTTACACTTTCTGCCCTTGTGGACAAAATGCCTATATGACTTAATGTTTGATTATTGATGCTAATATTTGTTGATGAATTTTTGGAATTTCTGATGTATGGGGACATGATCTGTATTGTAAAAATAAATTTTGTTTATGGAAATATTGGAAAAAATTATCCTCTAGTGGAAGAAATTTCAAGAAAAGATAGGCCTTGCATTTAGGTCACTGGCATTCTGTATGTTTTTGTTAGTTTATTTTAGTATACTAAGCATGTGAATTATTTTGGTTTAGTGTTTTATTTTAGTACAATGCTATAGTGTTGTCTAGATACAGGGTTGTTATCTTTTTATTTAAATTAAATCTTCCTTTTTCCAAATTAAAAAATATACACATAAAAATGTATGCATATCGCTAGCCATCAGGGACATGAAGATCAAAACTAGAATGAAATGCCACTTCATATCCACCAGGGTGGCAAAAAAAAAAAAAAAAAAAAAAAGTGTTCTGGATGAAGAAATTGGAGTTCTCATACATTGTTGACAGGAATGTAAAACGATGCATCCGCTGTAAAAAACAATTTGGCAGTTGATCAAAAGGCTAAATATAGAATTGCCATATGACCCAGCAATCTCAGGTATATAGGTATAAGTATATACCCAAGAAAAAGAGAAACATTTATGTTTACACAGAAATTTATATGTGAATGTGCATAGCAGTATTATTTATAATAGCCTCAAAGTAGTAGCACTCCAATGTCCATCAAATGAATGCATAAACAAAATGTCATGTAGCCATACAGTACAATATTATTTGGCAATAAAAAGAAATGAAGCCGGGTTCAGTGGCTCAGCCTATAATTCCGCACTTTGGGAGGCTGAGGTGAGTGGATTGCCTGAGCCCGCGGGTTCGAGGCCTGTGGGTTCGAGACCCACCTGGGCAACTTGGCGAGATCTCATCTCTACAATAAATCAAAAAGTTAGCCGGGTGTGGTAGTGTGCACCTGTAGTTCTAGCTACTTGGAAGGCTAAGGTGGAAGGATCGCCGGAGCCCAGCAGGTCGAGGCTGTGGTGGCCGGGAGCGGCCACTACACTCCAGTGTGGGCGACAGAGTGAGACTCCAACTCAAAAAAAAGAAATGAAGTACAGATACATGCTACACAGATGCAGAAGTGACAAAAGAGACTTTATATGATTCCATTTATAGAAAATGTCCAGAATCAGCAAGTTGATTAGTTGCTTATGCCTGGAGGCGCTGGGGGGAGATGGGAAGTGAATACTAATGAATATGCTGCCTGTTTTTGGGGCAATGAAAATGTTCTAAATTAAATAGTGGTTTGATGGCTGCACATCTAAAAACCACTGAGTTATACACATAAAAGGGTGAATTGTATGATATGTGAATTTTGTTTGAATAAAGTTGTTATTGAAGAAGTACATATGTTGACCCTTGAACAATGCAAGGGTCAAGGGCACTGACCCCCTGTGAAGTTGGAAATTGGTGTATAACTTTTGACTCTCCAAAAACTGTTGACTAGAAGCCTCACTGATATCATAAGCAGTCGATTAACACATATTTTGTATGTTCCATGTATTGTATGCTGTATTCTTACAATAAAGCAAGCTAGAGAAAAGAAGATCTTATTAAGAAAGATAAAATATATTTGCTATTCATTAAGTGAAAGTGGATCATCATAAAGGTCCTCATCCTCATCGTCTTCACAATGAAGAGGCTAAGGGCTTGGTCTTGTCTCAGGGTGGCAGAGGTGGAAGTAAATTGGCATATACAGTGGAGCCTGACGTTCAAACTTGTGTGGCTCAAGGGTTAGCTGTATCTAGATGCATTTGCTTCCATGAGCATAAGTTATTTCTGGAATGATGCAGATTGGTTCCCTGTAGAATGGAGAGCTGGATTCCATGGGGGGACGGGACGGGGACAGGGGGCGGGGTGAGACTTTTACTAAACATCTTTTTGTATCTATTGAATTTCGTACCATGTGATTGTATTACCTGTTTTGCAGTTAAAAGAAAAGTTAAATAACGAGGTATTAATAACTCGTATCCTCCCTTGATTTTACTGTGTCCAGGTCCTTCAAGGGTTAGATTATTTACACAGTAAGTGCAAGATCATTCACACTGACATAAAGCCAGAAAACATCTTGATGTGTGTGGACGACGCATATGTGCGAAGAATGGCAGCTGAGGCCACGGAGTGGCAGAAGGCAGGGGCTCCTCCTCCTTCAGGGTCTGCAGGTGAGGGAGCTCAGGCAGCCCCGTTTTGGTCTGCGCAGGGCATTGTGGCCTGCAGAGTTGCACGTTGAAAGCAGTCGAGTCAAATGTGTACATACTAGGAATTTTTTGTAAAAGGTTAGTTGCTGGAAATAACTGCACCCTTTTCTTGAGAAGGAAGATACCTCAATCAAATTATTTTTTAATATTTGAATTATTTGTCTTTGTCCTCACTTGAAAGGCCATTTATATTCTGAGCTGCTGCTTCATCTACATTTGAGCATTTTCTCTTTTTGCCTACTTTTCTGCAGAGGAGGATATAGGAACAGGTTTCTTCTAGCTAACCTTTCGTCATCAGAATTTTTTTTCTAGCTTCAGTTGTGTTAGAATAATTCCTGTTCTTCAGTCAGCATAGCTGAGTGTAATCAACAGATTTGGAATTAGTTACAAAAGACCTAAGAGTGGGGACAGAAGACCAAGTGACTGAAGTGCCGGAGTATCTTTATTTCTGTGGTTTTGCAGTGAGGTGTGGGCTGTGCTTTCACGCTTCTGGCCTGCCTGTGTTGTCAGGCAAGTGAACATACTAAGGGCTGAGGCTTCTAGTACAGCCGGGCTCTCTGCTTCTCGCTCACTACCATCAGGTGTTATTTAGTGCATAGAACCAGTCTGTCAAGCTTTTGACCTGACAGGGCTCCCATCATGACATCTGGAATACTTGCTGCATACTTCCTGCAGTACTTGATCTAGTTTAGTTGTATAAATAAAGCTTGCCAAATAGATTTCAAATCTAGATGTCATCTCATCTAAATTGTTCATTTGTGAACTATTTTTCATTTTCTTATCATTCAGTGCTTTTGGATGGGCTGCTTTTGAGATATATCGGTATTTAATTTTTGAGAAATGGTTCAGTATGAACAACTTCTATATCTTTTAGGAGTTGGTTACTTATTTGAGTTCGATAAACTAGGTCCCTATGATTAAAAAGCTCTGATTATTAACAGTTTTTGAAGTTGATGGGCCAATAAAAAACAGTAATTATTTCATTTTGCAACTCAAATTATCCACATAAAAATGTGTGCCTGTTTTTCTCTAAATGTCTATTTTGTTTTGTTTTGTTTTAGTGAGTACGGCTCCACAGCAAAAACCTGTAAGTACTTATACATATATTTATATTCACCTTGTTAAAAGGGACTGTCCATTACTGAGCTTTTCAAATTATAACAGTTGTTGTAATGTAAATTTACTTAAATGGTAGACATGCTGTGTGTCCTTAGACATGTTGGACTGCCTGGGCTGTTAAGTTGAAGCGATTTCTGCGGAGGTGGAGAAGTGAAAGCTCTTCCAAGTGCCATCTTTGCTGTGTGTTTTTTGGCCAAATCTGGGGACATAGGAGGCGATAAAGATTGAGTTGAAGTGTGACTATTCCAAAACCACTTTGCATATTTCTGATTAGCTACTAAGTTACCTGTTTTTCTAAAGCTATTATTCTAAATTTTTTTCCAGCCAGTTGTTAAATATGAAAGAGTATGGTCTAATTTTGTGGTCTTATCAAAACACTATATCCAGTGCAATAGCCCTCAGTTTGGAATGGAAGTTCTAGAACAAGGGGAAGCTGTAATAATTAGACTTCCTGGCCTACTGAAGAGCCCAGGGCATTCCCACAGTTTTGCCTTGAGCTGCCTATGTTTTGTTTACTGATTATTTGAAAGATTAGAGATTCTCATTGCCCTGTTTTCCAAGTCAGATGGCCATGATTGGAGGCAGATGAAAACTATGACTTTTTCTTTTCTCCTTTACTTCATGTGCGCATTTCGTACGATTCATGTTGTCTTGGCTGCTGTTGACAGCTCGCTATGAGACCTAAACCCCAGCAGAGCTGTTGACCAACAGTGACATACACCTGCTTTGGCAAACATTTCTTTTTTGACACTGAAGAGATGAGATGATGCTACTTTGTATATAGGCAGCAGCAAATAAAACTTGCAAGAGGAGCTTCTTGTTTAAGGCCAAGAGTATTTCAGAATATTCCGTTCTCAGGCCAGGCACATGTTTGCAGGCTCACGCCTGTAAGCCCAGCACTTTTAGAGACTGAGGCAGGAGAATTGCTTGAGCCTAGGAGTTTGAGACCAGCCTGGGCAACATGGTGAGACTGCGTCTCTGCAAAAATAAAAAGTCAGAGCCGGGCTTGGTGGCTCAGCCTGTAATCCCGCGCCTTTGGGAGGCTGAGGTGAGTGGATTGCCTGAGCCCGTGGGTTCGATACCCGCCTGGGCGGCGAGACCTCATCTCTACAAGAAATAAAAAAATCAGCCGGGCGTGGTAGCGCATGCCTGTAATTCCGGCTACTTGGAAGGCTGAGGCGGAAGGATCGCCGGAGCCCAGCAGGTTGAGGCTGTGGTGGCCGGGAGCGGCCACTGCACTTCAGTCTAGGCACCAGAGTGAGACTCCAACTCAAAAAAAAAAAAGTCAGCAAGGCATGGTGGCATGCACCTGTAGTTCCAGCTACTTGAGAGGCTGAGGTGGAGGGATCGCCTGAACCCAGGTGGTCAAGGATGCGGTGAGCCATGGTTGTGCCACTGCACTCCAGCCTGGGTGACACAGTGAGTCTCTGTCTCCAGGAAAAAAAAAAAAAAAGAATATTCAATTCTCTTAGAGTGAAAATGGTGAATACTTACTGGATTTAAGTTTTATACATCTGGGACAAGACCTGGTAGTAGGCCCAGCATGTGATATTAGCTGGCACTGTTTTCCCTTTTTTTGGCTTTATCATAACCCTAAGCACAAGGTGGGTCTCATGTCTGGGCTTGTGATTTTTAGTTGAGCACAGCGTGAAAAAGAAGATCTTATTGGTATTTGCCATACTGCTAGCAGTTGTGTACCATCACATGGTGCTTTAAAAAGAAGCCAACTGACCTGTGGTTTTTTTTTTTGTTTTTTTTTTTAAACACGTTACAGATAGGAAAAATATCTAAAAACAAAAAGAAAAAACTGAAAAAGAAACAGAAGAGGCAGGCTGAATTATTGGAGAAACGCCTGCAGGAGATAGAAGAATTGGAGCGAGAAGCTGAAAGGAAAATAATAGAAGAAAACATCACCTCAGCTGCGCCTTCTAATGAGCAGGATGGTGAATACTGCCTAGAGATGAAACTAAAAACAGCGGGATTGGAGGAGGCAGCTGAAGCAGAGACTGCGAAGGACAATGGTCAGTGGAGCTGGGAACTGGGGTGCATGGGATCTCGGGAGCTCCATTAACAGGAACCTGACTGGTTGCCGCTGGGGCTGACTTTGTGCTGTTGCTTCAGATGTCAAGGCTGATTCTCTCCCACTCCCTATTGGGATTGTGGGAAACAGCCTGGTGCATTTGGGCTGTGTGTGCCAGAAATATGTTAACATTTCAGAATAGTTTTTTTTAAATGCAAAATGTCTGAGAAGCAGCATGTCTTTATTATGCTGCAATGGACCCTGCTTTATTTTGTAACTAACTTTTTATCTAATCATAATGCACTACAAACCCTTTTCTGAAGATTGCAGAGGGTAGAAATGGAAGTGCAGCTCTGTTTATAAATAGTTATTTTCCCCAGAAGCTAACTTTTTCTAATAAGAGTTGGCCAATTATTAAATAGGTGAAAAAGGAGATTTAGAAAGCCTAAAACTTTTACTTTGAAAGCCAAGAGGCATTTTACTGTGTGGTACATAAATTAAGCACATTCAAAATGTATCATGTAGAAGGGGGTAAGTACCTGGTGCCACTGTATTAAAGAGAGTAACAAGATCTCCTTCTTAACCCATCAACTTTTTCAGGTGAAGCTGAGGACCAGGAAGAGAAAGAAGACGCTGAGAAAGAAAACGTTGAGAAAGATGAAGATGATGTGGAGCAGGAACTTGCGAGCATAGACCCTACCTGGATAGAATCACCCAAAACCAATGGCCATATTGAGAACGGCCCATTCTTACTGGAACAGCAGCTGGATGAGGAAGAGGATGATGAAGACGACTGCCCAAATCCCGAGGAATATAACCTCGACGAGCCAAATGCAGAAAGTGATTACACATATAGCAGCTCCTATGAACAATTCAATGGTGAATTGCCAAATGGACGACATAAAATTCCCGAGTCACCGTTTCCAGAGTTTTCCCCTTCACTGTTCTCTGGGTCCTTAGAACCTGTGGCCTGCAGCTCTGTGCTTTCTGAGGGATCGCCACTTACCGAGCAGGAGGAAAGCAGTCCATCCCACGACAGAAGCAGGACGGTCTCAGCCTCCAGTACCGGGGATTTGCCAAAAAGTAAGTGTCCCTTCCCATCAAATTTCTGCTTTCAGAGGCCTCAGGGTCATGCCTTTGACAACTACCATGAAAGGAATTGGCTGGAGCTGACAAAGCCATGTATGTGTGTGCTCTTCGTTTTCATTTGATTACTTTTGTACTCAGGAATAAGTCATAGGATTTAAAAATATGTTTTGTTGCCTGAGACCTCAACTTGGTGAGACCTCATCTCTGCAGTAAATCAAAAAATTAGCCGGGCATGGTAGCGCGTGCCTGTAGTTCCAGCTACTTGGAAGGCTGAGGCAGAAGGAGCCCAGCAAGTCGAGGTCGCCGGAGCACAGCAGGTCGAGGCTGCGGTGGCTGGGAGCGGCCACTGCACTCCGGTCTGGGTGACAGAGTGAGACTCCAACTCAAAAAAAATAAAAAATAAAAATAAAAATATGTGCTGCTAGGCTCTCTCTTGCTCTCTGCATATCAAATCTCATTTCTGACCCTTTCTCATTATTTAGTCAGTGACATCAAACATTTACAAAAACCTTTCTATTTTAGCAACTTGTAGTTTATATTTTGTATCGATACCTCTTCCATCTGATATCATTATACTTAGTTTTTGTTTTGCTTCTATTCGAGAAAACACATGTCTGTTCTTTGACTCTTTTGAAAAACAAGTGTCATATTTTCTTTTGATAGTTCCTCACTATAGGGGTTAGGTTGGCCCAGAATTGTAATTTTAGAAGAAGTGGCATAGGTTTAAATATGATGACAGATTATAGATTGGATCTTGTGTTCTTGTCTACCTAAGAATGCCCTGACTTATTCCAAACTCTTGTTTTGGGAGTGAGTGCTAAGAGACTGTAGTAAGTGAAAACTGGGCGGCACAGTTGGTTTCCGCTTTGGCCCACAGTGGAGAAGCTCAGAAACCTCCTCTGCTCCCTCTACTGACAAGACTGTTTCAACACATGGCAAGTAAGGGATGAGCCAGCCCTGCACACTGCCCAAGACGTTTGTCCCAGCAGGCTGGCGAGTGAGCCAACTTTGTTCTCACTAGCTAGAACGAATCACCCTATGGTTGTGTTTTCCTGACTCGACTGACTGTGGTCAGCTCCTGTTCCCCTTTAGGGAGTGTTTAAGGCTCTTGTCCATGGTTTCACAAGGATTGTTAAGGAAAGGGCGGTGCAGTAGGAAAGGGCGGTGCAGTAGTGAAATCACCTTTTCCAGACTTAACTGTTGCTGTTTGTGACTCAGTTTATACTATATTACTGATTCAATACAAAGTAATTTACAAAGTACTTTTAAAATTGATACTTATTTTGCAAGTAGCAGCTAGAGGCAGTGGCTTTAAATACAGTCAGCTCCATGTCTGTGGGTTTCACATCTGTGGATTCAATCAATTTAGATTGAAAATATTCATGGGAACAAAAAATCTGCATCTGTTTTGAATATTACAGACTTTCCCTCCTTGTTATTATTCCCTAAGCAATACAAAACAACAGCTATGCAGTGTTTGCACTGTATTAGGTATCATGAATAATCGAGAGATGATTTAAGTATGGAGGGATGTGTGTAGGTTATATGAAAATACTGTGCCATTTTATATCAGGTCCCTGAATATCTGTGGATTTTGGTATTCTTGGGAAGTCCTAGAAACAAGCCCCCTGCAGATACGAATGATTAAATCCCAACTCAAAACTTAATGGCTTAATGGGACTTTGGTTTCTTAACCTTCCTGAGCCTCAGTGTACTTCTCTGTTAAAGGGAAGAGATGGCTATCTTGAGGGTTGTTATTAGCAATGAATTAAATAAAACAGGTAAATACTATAGGTAGATAAATAACATGTAAAAATAATAACATAGGAAAAACTTCTCAGTGAATGTAAGTGGCCCTAGACAGCACAGACCTTACAAGGGAGCATGGTTGCTGCTTGTTACATGTGTCACATCTGAGGCCCAGGCCAGTGGTGAGTCTAGTGTTTTGTGGGCTCCTGAATGTTGGTGTCACTCTGATGTCTGTTCGCAGCCCGTTTCTCTCTTCACTGCCTTTCCCTACCTGACCTGAGCCTGCCTTTGATTTCCATGACCTTCAGTGGCATTGATGACCAAATCCATATTCACTTGTTCAGCAATGATTGTGTCCCAGCAGTGGCCAGGCCCTGTGGTGGGACTGAAGGTGACCAGTCGACAGAGCCCCAGTGTGCTTGCGTGTACAGGGCTGGCAGCTTTGAGAGCCAACTCCTGAGGCGTGAGCTGCTGTGGAGGAAAACAAAGCCTGATGTGGGGTGGGACCACTTCTTTTCTTCTCCAGAAAGTGAGTGAGCCTCATAAAGCAGGTGACATCTGGTCTGAGACCTGCAGGAGATGAGGAAGCAAGTCAGAATCCAAGGAGAGCACTTCCTGGCCAAGGAGTCTTTTCTTTGCTCGGCATTCCTGTGATTGAGGCTCATTCATTCAGCGAGGCTCTACAGCTCCGTCCCCATGTCACAGGGACTCCAGACTGGAGTGCGGCCTCCCTGCCAGCCTGCCCAGTGTGCTGTATTCCCCAGCCTTGTCGCCACTGTCTCCTGTTGCTCCAATGAGAAGCCTGGCCATCACGATGGCTCCCTTTTGCTCTTCCATCCAACACTTGTCCCATCACCCCATCTTGCTGGGTTTACCTCCTGAGTCGGGTTCCTGCCTGCCTTGGCTGGAATTGAACCTGGTCGCTGCTCACCCTGGTCCTTCTCCCTTCTGTTCTCTGGACTTCGTGTTCCCTCCAGCTTTCATCCCACCTGCCTTGCACTTGCTCTTCCCCGCTACTGCTCGGTGCTGGGCAGGTCAGTGTGTGCTGGCTCGTAGTTGTCAGCCCCGCACTCGATGGCCATGGTCCCCAAGGGGGAGGGTGTGTCCCTGCGTCACCTGCACCATCCAGGGAGTGCAGGGAGGAATGATTTGAGCATCTCTGTGGTTTTCCTGTTGTTGCTGAAAGAACAGTACACTAAACAGATATATTCTCCACATGGATTCAAGAGTTAACATTTTGCCATGTTATGTATGTTTCTCTGGTTTTAGGATGCCTCACTCCTACATACTCAAGCATCCATCTCCTGAGAGATGAATTGAAGACCTTCTTCATCATAACAATAATACCATTATCACATGTAAGAATGTTCATAATTTTAAAATATCTATTGTTTATTCCATATTCAGAGTTCCTCAGTTGTCCTCAGATTTTCTTTCTTTCTTTTTCCTGAGCTAGGCTGTGATCAGACACATTTGCTGCCTCTTCACTGAGGGCTTCCCAGGTTCCCAGGCTCAGTTCTCTTTCTTCTCTTTTTCCTGATGGTCAGACTCTTCTCAGTTGTGTGGTCGTTGTTCATTTCCGTTATCCATCATTAGCATGTGAACTCTTGGAAATTGCAGTATGTTGGGTTTTTTGCTTTTGTTTTTGAGTCGTAGTCTCACTCTGTTGCCCTGGCTGGAGTGCAGTGGCACGATCATGACCATTGTGTCCTCGATTAGGCCTGCTGGGCCCAAGTGGTCCTTCTGCTTCAGCTTTCCAAGTCACTGGAACCACAGGCATGCCCCATCACGCCCGGCTAAGTTTTAAATTTATTATAGAGATGAGGTCTTGCCAAGTTGCCCCGACTGGTCTCAAACCCCTGGGCTCAGGCCATCCTCTCACCTCTGCTTCCCAAAGTTCTGAGATTACAGGTGTGAGCTACCACACCTAGCCGAGAGTGCAGTATATTTTTATCTTTGTATCCTTACCGTCTAACTCAGTTCTCAGATAAATACTTATTGAATAACAAACAAACAAATGAGTGAGATCTGGTTATATTCCCTTTCCCCTACCTGTTTCCATTTATAATTAGAATTTTATTCTAACAAAATGCCATCCTTAACACCTGCTGCATTAGGAAACAGGAGCCCCCCCCATTGACCCCAGCCTCTTACCAAGCAAGCCTTGTTAATGTTGTTACATTCTGGGGTATACCGGGGACAGGATTTCCATATCCAGTCATTTGTTTGGGGTCTTGTTTGGTTCCCAGCATGGTCATATGATAAGCATGGCAACCTTCCCGCTGGGAGGTGATGTTTGCTCCCTACCTGGAAGGGTATGGCCTAGAGGCTTGTGGCTGGCTACCAGGTGCTACATGACCATGAGGCAAGAGGAACAGTCTTCTTGGAGAGTTTATGGGGATCCTCATCATCAGAGCAGTGTGTATACAATGGGGAATAAGAAGAAACCCAGGACCAGCTTTGAGGGTACTTCACTGTCAGGGTACTTGACGTAGACTTTTTTTCTAGAGGAATTTGGCAACCTTTGAAGGTTGAGAAGAGGAGGCAGGGTTCCTCTTTGATTATTAGCTGTTAGGGCCTTAGCACGTATTTTGGTTCATCACCTCTGAAGGACAGAGGCCTTGGAGCAGGCTGGTCTTTGTCTAATCTGCAGGGTATGTCTAGAACCCTTTCAGTGTTGCCTGGTGGGGACCCACTTCGTGATCAGTGCTTGCGTAGGCTGCTGTAACACAGCCGCCATACACATCTCATTCACCTCTTGCTCTTCAGTCTCTGTGTAGCAACCCAGAGAGATCTTTTTATTTTACTTTATTTTATTTTAAAGATACTGACTTGCTCCTTTGCCCAGGCTGGAGTGCAGTGGTGCAACCATAGCTCACTACAACCTACATTTCCTGGGCTCACGTGACCCTCCCACCTCAGCCTCCCAAGTAGCCAGGACTACAGGCATATGCCATCATGCCCAGCTAATTTTTTTAAAAAATTTTTTGAGCCGGGCTCAGTGACTCAGCCTGTAATCCCGCACCTTTGGGAGGCTGAGGTGAGTGGATTGCCTGAGCCTGTGGGTTTGAGACCCGCCTGGGCAACTTGGCGAGACCTCATCTCTACAATAAATCAAAAATTAGCTGGGTGTGGTAGCATGCACCTGTAGTTCCAGCTACTTGGAAAGCTGAGGCAGAAGGATCGCTGGAGCCCAGCTAGTCGAGGCTGTGGTGGCCAGGAGCGGTCACTGCACTCCAGTCTGGGTGACAGAGTGAGACTCCAACTCAAAAAAAAAAAAAAAAATTTTTTTTTTGACAGATGGGGTCTTGTTATATTGCCCAGGCTTATCTTGAACTACTGGCTTCAAGTGATCCTTCCACCTCAGCCTCTGCAGGTGCTCTGGGGTTGTTGGAATTATAGGTGTGAGCCACTGTACCTGACTCTAAAGAGATTTTTTTTTTGTCCATCTCCTTCTTTGCTTTTGTTTTTTCATAGCCTGTATAGCTACCTGACATTGTGTGTAAATTATTCGTGTATTTACCCTATTGGCCATCTTTCCAGCCAATGGCTGAGTTTCCTAACTTGTGCTGTGTTCCGGGTACCAAGACAGTGCTCGGCACATAGAAGAGACCCAGTAGATACTTGTTGCACGAGTGGGTCAGGTGACTGTTAGTATCCCATCTCCTAGCTCTGCCCCTCCTTGGGACCAGTGCTCAACCTGCTCCACGTGGAGGGTGTACTCGTGCCTGCCTTGTCAGGATGTTTACGAGACAAATCATTGTGTGCCTACCCCTATGCCTTGTGCATGTGATGGCAGCTGTTCCTCATGCCAAGGCTTCGCTGCCTGCCATCTTACTAGTGTCTAGGATAATGTCATGTGGAATGAATGACCACAGTGTCATCCAGAGACGGCTTTGTCAGAAAGTGATTTAAGGGCCCAGCCCTTCCTGATATGGTCTTCCCACTTCTTCCCTTCTGGGTAGAAGCAGAGCACACTCGCAGGTTCTTCACTTTCGAAGAGAAGGCAGCTGCAGCTTGTCCTTTGTGTCACCATTATCCATGAGAAGGAAAGGCTGGGACAGGTTTGGCAATCGGGGTGGCGATTAGAAGAGGAACAGAGCAGATTTGAAATGGTCACGCAGCAAGCATGAGCGACTCCATGTCTAAATGGGCTTTTTAAAAAATGCACCATCAGGTACCTGTGTGCAAGAATGATCTCACTGAGAAAAGAACGTCAGGAAAGCAGAATCTCTTCCCTCTCGTTGTGTTCTTATGTGATTAAATTATTGAGATAAATTACCTAGTATCATTTAGAATACATTGCCACCTGGGTAACTGTTTACAAACCTGAACCAGGAGGATAACAGCATGCCACCAAAGAGATTTTGTTTAGTGAACATAAATGATGAAAATTAAATACAAAAAAAACTGTATTTAAATGTGTGATGATGTGTCTTTGCACAAGTCTATTTCTTTTAGCTTAATTGAATTAAGCAGTTCCTGGGAGGGTTTTTAAAAACAAGTCAGAGTGGGTGGCGATTCCAAATCACCTCCTTCCACTTGAGAACAACTTAGATAATAGCCAACTTGCAGTTAGTTACCAATTCTCATAGAAAAAACAAACTCACATCTTTCTGTGGTTCGGGGATGCAGTATATCGCACACAGCTTTATTCTATTTCCCTGTTAGACCTGGGACCTGAGTGGTTTGAGAGGTAGGGCTCGTCTTTGGACCTCCCCTTAGGCCCCACCATGGGTCAGCACCCTTGTAAGGAGGCATAGGGAACAGGAACATCTGGGCCTGACTGGTCTAGGTTGATCCGCAAACCCAAGGAACAGGTCTTGGGGCTTAAGACATGCGCCAGAATTCTCCTGGCACGCTCTGGAGCCCTCCTTGGGAACTCTGTGGGCGCCTTTTGCCCTCAGGGCCTGCTTTGCTTGTTGCCCTGTTGACATCCACAGAGAGGCCTTCCTGCCTGTGTGGACGTGCTGAAGGGTGGGCACCTCTTTGAGGCCTGCACTTACGTGGTTTCATGTACCCTAAACAGGCTTAGTTCATGCTATCAATGCCCACCTTGGAGTGATCAGAAGGGCTCTCTGAGGCGGGTGTTTAATGTTCTGCATTGAGCAACTTTTCCATTTAGTTTATAAATACCATTTCAGAATTACTTCTCAAAAAAATAAAAGCCATGGTTTACATTTTGTCTTTACCAGAAATCTGAGATTGTAGGCTAGTTTAAGTTTTGGTGATGAAAATGCTGACTTGAGGATTTTTTCTCTGGGCCTCACCAAGTTATTTTTCTTTGACACTTGCCCCTTGGTTGGCTATCCTTGATATAGGCATGGTCCAGACTTCTCTGAGAAGCTCTTGGGGTCGCCCTGGAATTGAGAATGGCCTGAGTGCAACAAGTTTGTGAATGGCCTCAGAGATTGCCTTACAGCCCAGTCCATCTTGGGAGACCTCTCTCTGGAGTCTTCCTTGTCTAAAATGCAACCAGAATGGATTAGTCCCGCTGTTAATCTGTGTTTGTTAATCAACCATCATCTACCCTTCTAGGTCCACATGTGCTCAGCCAAACAGTGGGAGCTATATGTGGGTGCCAGGGGCCCTGTAGTCCTGTGGTGTTGGGGGAACTACGTGTCTCTGGGAGGTGATTGGCCACCCACTACCTTGGTCCCCCGCCTGTGTTCCTTGTCATCATGCACCAGTGAGGTCGAGCTGGCCCTTGAGGGAACAGACTGGACATGAAGAGCAACCATAGGCACAGGCGGGGCACACAGCAAGGCAGGCTTGCTCTGGGACTGACTTAGAGGTGAAGGAATCAGGAATAGAAGGAGAAAGGGTGAGACAGGTTGGCGGGGTCCTCTGGGCAGCCCAGTTTGCTATCTTTGGGGGAATATTTGCCAGGGATGGAGACTGAGAATTGTAATTCTATTGAGTTTGCTTTGCAGTATTCCAGGCCTGGATGACCATCCCACCACTTTTTAGGAAAGGATACATTGACCTTGGCACACACCATGCTCACATGGGCTTACCCCATCCCAGTCACTAACTGTTTTGCTGTTTGCTCATGCCAGCAAAAACCCGGGCTGCCGACTTGTTGGTGAATCCCCTGGATCCGCGGAATGCAGACAAAATTAGAGTAAAGATTGCTGACCTGGGAAATGCGTGTTGGGTGGTAAGTACAGCTTTCTTTCTAAAGCATTCTGGTCTTGATTCTGTGAGAAAAGACACTTTTTAATGTCTGTGTTCCTCCGTGGTAATGCAGTGTGTTCCCTTCCAGCATAAGCACTTCACAGAAGACATCCAGACACGGCAGTACAGATCCATAGAGGTTTTGATAGGAGCAGGTTACAGCACACCTGCTGACATTTGGAGTACGGCATGTATGGTAAGAGCAGCTTCGGCCATCTTCTTCTGTGTGAACTGGCCCATCCTTTTAATGCTCGTGATGGGGCTGAGTCTCTCCAGAGCATGTGATCTGTTTTTCTGACTGAGAGGATCATCCACTGTGGGCTGAGTGAGGAGAAGGTTGCTACCTTAGGTGGCTTAGGAATCAGAAGGATTCTCCTCAGGCATGCCCTGGGCTTTTGTTTTGGTTTGTTTTGGTCTTGTGAGAGACGGTCTCTTCTTAAGGGCCTTCGCAGCCCACAGCCCAAGAATCAGACTCAGTTGTAGAGATAGGTGACTTCATGTAGTTCCTTTTGGTTCCTGAAGTGTGCAGGTTGTATAGAGCCTCCTCCCTTCTCTGACGTTGTGGAGGAAGTTGAGTAGCTGTCTGAGGCTGAGAGGTTGGAGCCCTTCCAAGTGGCCTGTGCCAGGTCACCAGAGAAGCAGGGATCCTTCAGCTTACTATTCTAGGCTATCTGTTCACTTCTGAGACTGCATGCATACTCCCTCTGACTGAGTTTGTGCCCCGAGAGAATGTGGTGATATCTTCTTCAGGACGTCCAGTGCCTTGCCCTCACCCATGTCCCATGCCTGTTTCTGCTTCTGGTTTTGTGCATCACAGTTGAGTTGTATCTAAGCTCACCCCAGCCCCACCAGTGCCTCTTTCGTTCATGACTCTGAACTGTGAACTGGTGGGCACAAATTGTCCCATGTCCTTGAGCTGTTTCCGGTCCTCTTTCTTGGCCCTGTTTCCGGCCAGTTCAGCACCTTTCTTTCAGTGGGTCATTCCCACGCTGGAAAGGGGTGAACTGCTTACTGCGAAATTTCATGCTTTTCCTGTTTCATATTATTGTTTATCCAGATTCTCCTCTGATATTTAAGTGAAAGGGCTTGTGTGTAAGTCTTTGTCTTCTCACTGAAAAAAGTAATATGGAATACATATGTTAATTTTATGTTATTCAAAGATTAATTAACAGTGCTTTTAAATTTACTGTATTTTATGTCATCTAATGCTAAAGTAAAAGCCTTGTCTTAAGTAGGCAGTGCCAAATGATAGGAGTAAAAGGGTGTTTTGTGTTTTTCAAGTTAGTGTGATCACAAGCAACAGATGTGGCCACGTAGGTCTGATACACGGGGCTTTCTATTCTCTCGTTGCTCTTATGCACGATACCAGATAATAATTTTAAAATTATTAAAAGTTAAGTTTTTCCAGATCAAAAACTGAGTCCCTGCCTTAGCCATGTATAGAAAAGAATGGTTAAAAGAATCGGCGGACTTGTGATGGTTGCTCTGTGTGTAGAGGCTGTTGTGTAGAGAGGCATGGACCCTCCAGCGTGTCCCCCTGTGGCAGATGAGATGAGAGGTCCATGGGAAGGGAGCCTGAGACGAGGGCTATCGCAGGGTGTGTTAGGTTGAGCTGCACTAGTTGCCGGCATCAGGGTTGCCCTGAATAGGTGCTAAGAGTTCTTTCAGCTCTGAAATCCTGTGCTGCTAATTTGGGGTATCAAATTTGGTGATAGAACCAGAAAAACAGGACAAAGTCCAGCTGTAGTGGGATAACAGCGGGGCTGTCAGCACAGTTTTAGTCCAAGTATCTGTCCTGCCTTCCCTTTGTTAAGGATTTGTCCCTCCACACAGTCTCCTTGTCCCGCCAGCTTCTTGAAGTGCTGTTGCTTTGAATAGTGGCATAAACACCAGTACAGCCTGCCATGGAAAAACACTCTGTCTCCTTTCACCTGTCCCCTTTCCCAGGAAGTAAACACAAGCTCCCTCAGTGCCACTAGGCTGCTTATGAGGTTTTTTTGTTGGCTGTTATAAGGGAGATTTTTTAGGCAGGAGGCAAGCCTTCATTCCCCGCCACCTGCATCCCCAAGGTCACGGCTGAGAGGTCCCTTTTATTCTTCCTAGAGAACCTGGAAGAGGAAGCAGTGCTCCTTCGCATCCACCCTTTTGTTGAGGTTTAAAAAGATGACAGTTTATTACATTTGACCTCATAATACCAAGCTGTCATAAGCTACCGATCATTCTCGGTGGTGAAGCCTGTAGTCCTTAGAGTTTCACAAATAGCAACAGATCTCACAGATGCTCTGCTGGGCATGAGAGCTGCTGACTGCTGGCCGTGCCCTTGCTGCTGCCGGGAGGGAGGGTGCTAGGCTGCAGCTGGGAGGTACCATGGGACGAGGCCCGGCAGCTGCCAGAGTCACTTGTCTGATCTGTGTTCTTTTTCCTGAGCTTCGGGGCCCTTCCAGGTGTAAGTGTGTGTGATCCAAACTTTCTGTGTGGTGTTGGTTTCTTTGCATTTATGTATCACAGTCCCCAAATAGGACTTTTTATGGACTCCTTGTTGAGTCCTGGTTAGTGCTATAGAAACAAGAAGAGCTACTCTGACAAACTTTACCAAACTTCTACAGCACTGGCCACATCACAGAACAAATAGGTGACCTCATTTATTCAGAATAGGATACTTTGGCATAGGAAGGTGTTTTAGGAGAGAGGCATCTGGTCTTCCAAGAATCCAGGAACAGAGGTTGGTCCTGGGGAAAGTACTTTGAGGGGACTGGGCCAGTGCAGAAGGAAGAACCCAAAGTCCCCAAGAATTAAAAATAAATAATAATAAAGGTTATATTGTGAGTAACTTACTGAGTAGAAGGAAACAATCTTTCATAAAACAGTCTTTCATGTCAGCATAAAAGCATTTTGTAAAGTACAAGGCACATTTTTTTCATCACCCTGTTGTGCATGTCATATTTGTTAAGAGAATCTAGTCACTCTCCAAAGAACCAAGGCTAGATAACATTACATGGCCCCCTCCATCGCTCCTCTGCCTTTAAAAAAGATCACTTCATTGAGAGGCTCCTGTGTTTCCTTGCAAGTACATGGTGCTCATCAAAGTGATCTTTTTTTTAAAGTAGCACTTAGCTGATGTATTTTGGTGTTAGACAGTAAGAAATATGTGCAAACCTGGGTGCAGTGGTGCACACCTATAGTTCCAGCTACTTGGGAGGATCACTTGAACCCAGGAGTTCGAGTCCAGCCTGGGCAACACAGTGAAATCCTATCTCTAGACAAGGAAAGAAAGAAATATATACAATCAGATTGAAATATTTTTGAAAATTAAGAGAGCTAGGACAGGACTCACGGCAGAGGTTAGGGAGCAGCTGGAGCTCGCATGGGAATTTCATCCAGCTGCCTTCCCAGGTCTGCTTTCCCCTATTTGGATTTCCACATTTATTGCCTGACTTGGAAGGTACTGAATTAACTGTTTCCCAGGCTAGATGGCGTTTTCCGGCCACTGATTGTGTAATCAGTCACTCCACTTGGAATTGGGGCCAGTGTTAGGTTTTTCTGCCCTAACCTGGGATTGGCCTGGCTGTTTTTGCTGTTGGGTGGGGAGAAGAGGACCCACATGAGGGTTCTCTGCTTCCTTCGTGCACCACAGCCTGGGACCGCCTGCTCCCCTGTGCTGAGAATTGGCAGTTTGTGTCCTGTGTCCTGTGCCAACCTATGCTTGGTTCAGGGCAGGCAATACCAGATGATAATTTCATTGAAAGTTTTTCCATATCAAAAACCGAGTCCCTGCCTTAGCTATGCATAAAAAAGAAAGGTTAAAAGAATCGGTGGACTTGTGATGGTCGCTCTGAATGTCGAGACTGCTGTGTGGAGAGGCATGGACCCTCTGGTGTATCCCCTAATGGCAGATGAGGTGAGAGGTCCGTGGAAAGAGAGCCTGGAATCAGCGCCATTGCAGGGCTGCCCCAAATAGGTGCTAAGAGCTCTTTCAGCTCTAAAATCCTGTGCTGCTAATTTTGGGTACTAAGTTTGGTGATAGAACCAAAAAAATAGGACAGAGTCACATGAGAGTTCATGAACTCTAGTGCACATCGCAGGGGCAACTGGCAGCAGTCATGTCATCCTGCTTAACCTCCCTCAACTGGTGCAGTCTTTTCTTTAAAAAGAAAAAGGTGAGCCGGACTCAGTGGCTCAGCCTGTAATCCCACGCTTTGGGAGGCCGAGGTGAGCGGATTGCCTGAGCCCACGGGTTCGAGACCAGCCTGGGCAACTTGGCAAGACCTCATCTCTACAATAAATCAAAAAATCAGCTGGGCGTGGTAGCGCGCGACTGTAGTTCCAGCTACTTGGAAGGCTGATGTGGGAGGATCGCCTGAGCCCAGCAGGTCGAGGCTGTGGTGGCCTCTCCTGGCCACTGCACTTAAGTCTGGGTGACAGAGTGAAACTCCAACTCAAAAAAAAAATAAAAGGTGAAAAGATATGGTCCAGGCTGACCACACCTACTCTTGGCTTACTAAGACTGTGCTGTGGAGACAGCCCCTCACCAGGCAGGAGAGTCTGCCCTTGAGGCCCCTTCCCAGTACTCTGTGTTCATTGAGACAAAGAGAAGGTAGGTTGATGCAGCAGACTCCCCTGTGCTGACTCTTGGGGCAGGAAGGGGGGGAGGGCAGGCGCAGGGCCATGGGTGTCAGCGAAGGTGGGTGGGGTCCAGGCCGCTGAGCTTTTTTCAGAACAGCAGGATGCCATTCAGAATAGAAGTGACTATGGGAGAGACAGAAGTAGGATGGAGCTTATTCTTTCTTTTTTTCCTAATTTTTAAAACATGGTATCTAATCAGCAGAGCAATAGCAGTTGCTGTCTTTGTATATTGTTACCAACTTAAACTCATGGTCCTGAGCTTTTTTTGCGTGCAAGAGAAATGGAAACAAATGGCCTTTCCCATACACTGGTGTGCTGAGATTCAGTTGATGGTGATCCAGGAAGCCTACCTTCCTGGACATCCTCAGGAGGGTCTGCGGGGCCACCAGCTTCATCTGGCCCTAGGCACGGAGGAAGAGGGTCTTTTTTGTTTCTTGATTTTCCTTTGGTTGAGTCAGAAATGAATGAAATGAAAGTACATGATGAGCTGCTGAAAATAGCCCTTGATAACTACATGGAGGTCTTTTGTTTTGTTGTTTTTTGAGTTGGAGTCTCACTCTGTCGCCCAGACTGGAGTGCAGTGGCACGCTCCTGGCTACTGCAGCCTGGACCTGCTGAGTTCCGGCGATCCTTCCGCCTCAGCCTTCCAAGTAGCTGGAACTACCACGCCCGGCTAATTTTTTTGATTTATTGTAGAGACGAGGTCTCACCACGTTGCCCAGGCAGGTCTCGAACCCGCGGGCTCAGGCAATCCACTCACCTCAGCCTCCCAAAGCGCGGGATTACAGGCTGAGCCACTGAGCCCAACCATGAAGGTCTTTATGACAGGAAGCAGCAGCGCCTGCTGCTTGGAGGCCAAGGCTAGCGTGGTGGTGGAGGAGGCAGGTGCTGGAGTCCGCAGACCTGGCTGAGGCCTGGCGTGAACCTCGTTCTGCCTCTTGTGGAGTGTGTATGGGCTCGGGCCAGGCCTGCATACACGGTGGCCGAGTCACTGATGCTTTGGGTTTGCTTCCTACAAAATGAAGAGAATATATAGCCCTTAAGTCTTTCATTAAGAGAGCTGTAAAAATTTTCCTGAAACTTTTTAGAACTTTTTGGAAGAAAGAAAAAATATGGTGTTGAGCACTTTTAGGAGATTTTTTTATTTGATTCAGATCCTCATAAAATGGTGATCTCCTCTATAAGGAGAAAAAGTTGTTGGCTTGCGGGCCACTGTGAAGTCTGAGCATGTCATCTGTTGTATCCTAGGCATTTGAGCTGGCCACAGGTGATTATTTGTTTGAGCCGCATTCTGGGGAAGACTATTCCAGAGATGAAGGTAAGTGTGGCAGCCTTGGAACTTCTCAGGCTGGGACTCCTGCCAGTCCTGTGCTTCCGGGCAGTGTTATATGTTTGTTCTGAAATAGAGCCATGTTTTGGTTTTCAGACATCAAATTGAGACGCCTTTCCTTTGAGTCTGACGCCCCCTCAGCCTCAGTGAATGGGCAGAGCCTGCCTGGCACAGGCGGCACTCCAGGGAGCCCTCAGGGATCTACACCAGCAACTCTCCCTGGCCTTGTGCAGGGAGGGAGCCCAGTTGGCCAGGAGGGGGCAAGCTGTGCAGACCTGAAGCCTCCCCGTGGAGGAGGGTTTTCTCTGTCCTGATTGGGAGCTGAGTTGAAAACCCAGGAATTCTGACTTGAATTCCAGCTGTTACCTGACCATCTCCATGCTTATTTGCTTGCAATGCTGGGGCGGCCTGGGTTGAGCTGGCCTCAGCCACTGTTAATGCCCCCGATGGTGCCTGAGGCCTGCTAGTCCCAGAAGCCTCTACATGGATGTGCTGCAGACATTGTTGATTTGAATCTATTTCTGATTTTTTACTAATTTCGATTTTTTCCTCTTTTATCCCATCCTTCCCTTGCCCCTCCCATTCCCATCTCCTTTTTTTCTCTCCTCCATAGACCACATAGCCCACATCATAGAGCTTCTAGGCAGTATCCCAAGGCACTTTGCTCTATCTGGAAAATATTCTCGGGAATTCTTCAATCGCAGAGGTAGTACCTCTTCTTTTTGAAAAGCGCCATGATGCAGACAGAAATGGAATAGCCGCTGCTGATTGTAACATTAATGATGACGAAGGCATTTCTCCTAAATTCAAAAAGCAACACAGCAGAATTCCTGTGCTAATTTAAGAATTGGGGAAGACCGCATTTGGCCTGTGCTGCGGTTGCCCTGGCCACTGGCCACTTCTTGGCGCCCTCCAGCTCTGGATCCCGAATCCAGTCACTAGAGGAAAGCCTGTACTTTCGATCAACAGGTTGTGCTCTGTTTCTGTCTGCGCGGGCGGTGGTAGTGTCTGCATGCAGTGTACTGATTAAACTGTCGTGTGTTTCTGTTTTGCTGGCAATGTTTCCCAATGCAGATCACATAGCATTGATCATTGAACTGCTGGGGAATGTCCCTCGAAAATACGCTATGTTGGGGAAATATTCCAAGGAGTTTTTCACCAGAAAAGGTAATGGTATTTATGCCACACTAATTTTCAGCATCATTTTCTCCCAAATGGAGAAATGGTGCATTCATGTTTGGGCAGTGGAGAAAGAGCTGGACTTTCACATCTAGGGAATTCTGCTGAAGAAAACTCAAGGAGTAAACCTGACCCATCTCATATCTGTGCAGTAAGAATTTTGTAAGAGAACAACTTTCCTAAAATTGTCTTTCTCCTCCACCTCTCTCTCCTCTTACTCCAAGTACCAATCTATACTTGGAGTACAGGTATTTGTTTTTTTGTAAAAAAAAAGTTTGAGTGACTTTAAATAGCCAGCTGGATTTGCCTTTCCGTTTTCTATGTTCAGGGACCATCTCTGATGGAACAGAGGTTGCCTAGAGCTGGACTTCAGGAATGTCCATGGAGTCCTTTTGTCTGCTGAGTTATTTATGTAGACTTGTGAAATCCTGTATACATCACATTCTTATAAATCAGATCCTATTTTTCCACTGTGTTATGTCACACTGTATTATAGGTGATTTATTTTGATGTTGTAGTTCTCACCTATCTTCACTTGGCATGACTCTGAACAACTGTTTCTTTGCCCAGTGTAGCTCCCAGTTGACGACCAATTTTTAAAAACACCCAAAAGCCCCAAAGTTTTTAAAAAAGAATCCTCCCTGTATTCTTTTTTTTTTTTTTTTTTTTTTTTTTTTTTT